TTAAATACATCGAAAGCCTACATGCATTTTACCATCAAGGAGTTCTGTTGCTGAAAAAAAATACTGGGAATGCTCCCAGTTCTATTCTGCTTTTAGAAAAGGCATTCACTTAACACATAAGAATATTCGTAAATGATACTCACAGTTAGTCGGTAAATTGCCTCAACATGGTCGACACGGTGATAAAACCTTTAAGACTCACTGAGCTGGTAATCCTTTCAAGAGACAAAACAGACGTCAGAGTCACCAGAAGAGTGACCACTAAATGGTGTAGTACTGTCCAGAGCAACTGGAGAAGTCACCAACTGCACAGCTGGAGAACCAGATCGTGAACCACACAGCTGATCAGAGTAACAAATCAAGTCAAACACCCTCCATATCTACTTTGTTTTGAGAGATGGAGTTGAGTGGAAGCACTCCGAGAATAGCGAGTACCAGTAGCAACATCAAACCGTAATTTAACCAATTTTATTGTCAAAATCATAATCACAATGACAATATTTTTCATAGGAATAATTCACCTCATCCTGATTAGGGTCGCAACCCACCTGTGCAATGATTGTTCGCAATCGTGTAAGCTGCGTTTCGAGCTGCCGATTTTGCTCTTCCAGTATTCGACTTCGTTGTTCCAATCGTTCCTTGTGCTGCCGCAGCAAATACGCCTGAAATTTTGCTCACTCTTACAACAACTCTCAGTTATCGAAAGCCATATCTACTAGGTTATCCGTCACAAAATATTTCCAGGATCGCTCGCTCGTGAGTATTCCCTGAAATATCTGAGATATATCCACAAACTGAATGGAACTATTCCTTGCTTCCCGTAGAATGCACACCTCCACGTATTCCACGCCTTCCTACATTACAGTCTTACCACATATAGTTGTCCATAAAAGTGTTTTCTTGCTTCCCTTTCATTTGTCTGAGACTGCTATCAACTGCCTTTACCAAACTTTGTTGCCCCCCTTCCGGGGATCTGCCAGAATGGAAACCTAGCGACTGCCTGGGAATTTCTGCTCCAATGAGACATATTCGGAAGCAAAATACAAATTTTCGGAAGATGTGCCCTAAAATATCTTTCTTCCTGACACAAATTAAAATTATAACTGTTTGAAAAAACCTCTCTTAACCTCTCTCAACAACTGCTCGTCGCCAGAGTTCGGTAGTGAGGGAACTGATCGGCCGGTGCCCATATTGTCGGTACCACTTCGCGATGTCGATGCACCACTGCCATGCACTAAATTTGGTGCTGAGCCAATGCCACCATCGAACTTCTTTCGCCTTTCAATTTCTTTCTTCAGCTCTCTGCAGTAAATTCAAAAAAAAAGCTTGAACAAAGCTGCATTAAACTTTGGATGCACCTCAGTGGTGCCGAGTTATCACTAGCAAGTCAGAAGATTCCAGCAAACTCCATCATACGGATATTGGCGGATCCAGGAGGGGGGTCTTTCGTCCTCTCACCTTTACGGGCTTAGGTAGCAGTTATTTCACCGTAAAAAAGTCTACCTGAAACCCCCTGTTGCCTTCCTTCCCCGCCCCTCCCAAGGAGACCGCCCTGGATCCGCCTATGCATATGGATGAATATTTAACTATGAAAGGTGGCTCAACTGGGTCTGTCTCGCCTCGCTGCCAGGCTCATGAAGTCTTTTTGCGGATGACTGTTTTTAATAAAAGACGAGCTCATGCATCAAAAAACTTCATCAAGAACATCTGAACTATTGATGTGGAGATCTCGACGCTGCAGAGATGTTGCAGCAGCATGCCGGGTTTCTTATATACCTGAATCTAGCCGGGATTTCCTCTGCCGGATTATCTGATCTTATTTCTTATCTACCACATTATTACGTAAGCGTGCAGTTTCTTTGGTCGATCGGTGTCCATCTCGCAAGGTACCAACTGCTGATTTGTGGGAAAGCCTCGGAACGGAAATTAATATACTACCTATTTTCATGTTGCAGTTTGTGCAAAACCTGATCCAGCTCTTCCTTGTGCATTTGTTCTACTTGTGATAAAAGCTGCAGAGGCGATTTCAGATCCACTGTGCTCGCGCGCATCTCCTCATTGCGATCATGAAAGTGAGCACTTGGTGTACCATCGTCACCACGTGCACGCCATAATCTGAAAAGAAGAAGCGTCGTGATTTTGCGAAAAATCTGCGTAAAATTTTGAAAAAAAAAAACGTGTTTTTATGCAGGATATCAATTGCAACCATACGAGAAAATAAAATCTGCTTCACAGAACCTGTTGCTCGCCTTACAGAGAACTGTGGAAAACGCAAATTAATGAGTGGTACCCACGAGAAAGTAAACGATCATCCGAGTAGCTTCCAAAGAGACGACACATACATCAAATAAATTAGCGGCATTGTTAGAGATGTACAGCCTCGATTCGAAGAACTTGACACAGCGAACGACGTCCAGCACGTGAAAGCATCCCAGTAACATCACTAACATTTGGATATCTACACAGACTGCCTTGGCAATCATGGCATTTTTATGTTGTGTGTTGATGTACGAGTAATAATTAACTAATCTATTTGACATATCAGTGACTGTTTCCGCAGATTAACTAAATCTAAGTAATGGATGTCACCAGCAAGAAGTGAAGACATCTCGCCTAGGAAGACTAGGCATTGATATATGTTCTGTTTAATAAATGTATTCTATCCTAAGTAGTAGTCCAGCTCATTTTGGCGTGGGAGGAGAGAAATGCACAAATTTATAGTAAAAATGACCCTACTGACCTCGGTTTTGTACTTTTTAAGTTCCATTCACTTCCCAAAACACTTGTAATCCATCAAATCGAACGATTCGTAGAGGGAATCGCTGTTTCACTGAACCCTCGAGTATGAACGCACAACTATTTGTTATTACAGCATGCCATCACCGTAAAATGCACCAAGCGGTATAAACCACATATCTGGGACAAACGAAGATTACCTCCGAGCACACAACTGCATACGATTGTGGATTGGTTCAGTGATCGGATTTACCGGCGTAATACTGCTCGTTTCCAGCGGTGGTCCCTCATCGACTGTTTGCACTGGCAGATAACCGATTTTAGTTTTGCTTCTCGCTCGTAATTTATTCCTCACAATAAGACCGAAATCACGCACATCCTCACCTGATGTTGTCTGAAAATTATGCAGATATATTTCTACAAAAATTTGGTTTTGAAAAAAAAAAGCCAAACAGGGATGAATTTGCTTCAGTTTTCAAAGAAACAGGCTCAGTAGTAATCAGTTTCCGATAAAAACCCCATAATTTCCAGAAATTTCTTCAAAATTAAGAAAAATGGCACTTGAAATACAAAAACAAAATTGGCCAAAAATTTATATATTTGTCTTAAAAAATAAATTTAAAGAAAAAGAAATGAACAAAACTCACTGGCACGCAATATTCCTGCATTGGATGTGATAATTTGTGGTTCTTGGCCAGCCTTTG